CCTGTGTCCTAGGATGAATAACTGGAACTGCCTCCATCCCCAAACCCCAGGCATTGGCTCTGGTATCTGGACCTGTCTTGCTTCCCCAGACTGAGTCACAACTCATTTAATCTGTATGATTACCTGGTATTTCTTGACCTGTGACTAATGTTATTACCAAACCTCAGGTCCCCCTGTACTGAGCCAGAACCCTAGACCTGGGAGATTCAGGCCCAGTGACATGTGCCAGGAAACCCCTGGCACACTGGCCTGGCTAGATTTGTCTTGTGTTTGCTGTTAACAATCCTTACCCAGGACTAGATGTGCAGTGCTACCATTTGGCTTGATTGCTGCCTCTCTTGTATTTTTCTCTTAGAGCACTGTGTCCTCCTTTCTGGGCCGGACTTGATCCTGGCACTGACAACTTACCTGTGTCCCCTCAGCTATAGCCCAGGATCCACACTTACTTCTAACCTAGTTATGCCCAGCCCTGATTGGAGACAGGCCTCTATTCTTCCAAACGGGGTCTAGCTTTCAACTGAAAGGAAGCTCTTGGCTAAGGCAGAAAAAGGGCAAGCCTTTTAAGGCCAGCAAACAGAAAGAGAAAGAGGGAGGGAAGGCAGCCCAGCAGGCATGGGCTTCTGGCCAGGCCAAGTGCACACCTGACTGACCTTCGGTTGCTCTAACCACGGAGAGAATAAGGCTGAACCTACTAGCTTGAATGATAGGATGGCTTCTGATCTGATCTGACTCCCATGGCTCCTGGGAATATTGTAGCTACACTGCTGAATGCCCACTTAGGAAACTACTTGGAATTCCCAGACCGCTCAGACTCTCCTGGGTAGGCCTTCCTGGATGTCTCTTTGAATCCTTTGAGTCTCAGATCATATTTTAGCTCTTGAGTTTAGTGCCCATCCTTTTTGTTCTCCTCAAACTTAGTCATATCCCCAGGTGGAAACATATTACAGTTACCCCTATCACTCCAGATCCTGGCAATAGTATGTGCCCAGTAAATACTGAATGAATGAATACATGAATGAATGAATGAAACCACCATGCCTTCAAAGCCCTGAATACAAAACTCCAACGGCCCTCTGAAAAATGCCCATCTAATAATTAAACACCCGACTCCGTATGAACCAGTGAATGGGATGTGTGTTCCTGTTTTTGTCTTGTTCTGTTGGGAAAAGACAACTAAAAAGAAACATTGCTGAGCTTTGGCCTTGCTGCCTCTGTGCCTATAGTCAGCAAAACAGAGAGGAGCTGACAGGGCCGCAGTCCTGGAAATAAATAACCCTCCCTCTTGTTCAAGTGCAGTTTCTAAGAGAAAGTTCTACCACATACTTAATTGGATTCTTTCTTGCTGCAATTTAAGACTTCTTATTCTTTTCCCGAGTGGGATTATAGCTCATTATCTCTGAAGTTCACAGGGACACCTTTTCTAAGCAAGGAACTGACTTCAGAGTGAACATTCTCTCTTCACCTTTGTCATCCTTTGTGTGTGTCTTTCTCAGACTTTCGAAAATAGTGCATTGGCTTTAATGAGTTAGTACATAGTAGGTTCCTGTGCTGTTCAAGAAAGCAATTTTCATCTGTTCTTATATTGTTAAAAAGTAGTGGTACATAAAAAAATTAAAACAAAGTTTAATCCTTCCCTACTTCCTCAAATACTGAATTTCAGATCCTTTGAGGTCTCACATAATCTAGGTGTTAATTCCTTTCTAAGCTCTTTTCAAGCTAGCGCTCTCACCATGTAGATTCCACTAAACCCCAGAGTCTTCTCTGGGTGTCTCAGAAAAAGCAAAGTAACTGCATGCTGTACATTAAAATATTTTTCTCAGGAATAGTGTCTTTCATTTTCCTTTCTGACTATTTATTTATGTGGCCTTCAAGAAAACAGAAGTCTTTTACAGCCAAAACAGCCTGCAGGCACTGGGCTTCTCATCTCATTTGTGGGAAACATCTGGTTAATAACATTCATGGGGCTCTCATTTCAGGGCTTGCAGCCCTGAGTGATTTCAGCCTTAAATCACCCAGGATTGGCAAACAATAGTGAGGGACAGGCTAGGAAAGAGACAGGCAAAGCTTATGTTTGAAACGAGGTTAAATAAAAGCATAAGTATGTTGATATTCCCATTTTTATTTCTAATATATTCACCATGAAAGCCAGTATGTTATTTCAGTGATGATGACATTGAGAACCATTATGTTCTGGAACTTTTCCTTTAGAATTGGCCTGGGGATCAGAAGGCTACATCTTGATTTCTTTAAAAAGTAAATTTCTAGTAGTGGTGTGTATTAGGTATGAATGGTCAAGCTGGGTCATTCTAGGAGGAAACTTTGAAGTAGCTAAAAAGAGACATGTTTAAACATGGAGCAGAGACCCAGGCTCTAGTTCTCACTCTGCCATGTTTGCTTTATGATGCTGGAAATGTCACTGAATGCTTTAAGCCTCAATTTTTATTTTTTTTTACTCTTAAAGTGGGAATAAGATCTATAAAACTATGAGGAATTCAAATAAATAGCCAAGTTTGAGTCTTGTCTCTGTTACTTCCAAATGTTTCTGTCTTGGGTAAAACCTTGGTTTTGAGCAACATTAGCACAGAGCTCTGGAGTCTGGAACGCTAGTGCTCCAGGAAATTCTCCAGTCAACAATCCCCATTACAGATGAAGAAAATGAGAATCTTAATTATAGAGGAGGTGACTAGAATGCCAAGGTGGCTACTTTCAAAGACAGTGACTATTTTGCATTTATATTTAGGGTTAAAAATAAATAAATAACTATTTAAAATAAAATAATAACTTCACCTAGCTGGTTTGGCTCAGTGGTCTGTAGACCTAAGTAAGGGTCCTGGGTTTCAGTTCCAGTCGAGGGCACCACCTTGGTTGCAGGCTCCTTCCAATCCCTGGTCAGGGTTTGTGCAGAAGGCAACCAATGGATGTGTTTCTCTCACATTGATACTTCTCTCTGTTTTTCCCTCTTTCGTCCACTCTCTCTAAAAATCAATGGAAAAATATCCTCAGGTAAGAATTTTAAAATAAATAGATAAAAACATAACAACAACCTCATTTTGCTGAAGCCCTGGTGATACACTATCAAATTAAATGGATTTAATAAATGGGACAGCAGTCCTCCTGGGATTACAGATCAGCATCACCCTGCTTATTCTGTGTGGCTCGGAGGAGGGATGAAATATCCAGGGTAGCTGGAGAAAAGCCATCATAAACCTTTTCCCAGAAAGGAAAAGCATATGTGTGTCCTTCTGCACACTCTGGAATGGCTTAGTCAACCCAGGAGCAGTTGTCATTCCGTCTGCCTCTGGGCTTATGTGACCTTACAGCACAGGTGAGGAAAGGGCAGGGTCCAGGCACAGACAGTACCTGAGAGCCACAGAGGAGAGGGGGCAGGAAGGAAGGATGATGTGGAAGAAGGAGGAAAAAGGTAGGAACAGTAAGAGAAGGGGATGTCCTCCTTGAGGACTGTGGTGGAGGGTCACCCTGACTACTATGCCTGGTGGCATCTGTGCTACTATTTGTCTTCCTGGGAACATTTTCACACCACCAGTGGGATGTCTGTTTTCTGCAAGCAGAACCCTCAGGAGAGGGATCTCCTCCCAGCTACTCTAGAAACTCAGTACATTTGAACAGCCCCTGCTCTTAGAAAAGCCTTACTTATTGAAAAAGAAAACAACGAAGTCCCTTTATATCACCTTTGAAATGACTTGCTGCTTTATCACACTAAAAGAACAATTTAGTGCTTATATTGGAAAACTCTTTTTTTTTTTTTTTTTTTTTTGCCGTCTCCTTTAAATTTTTATTAAGGGCATAAATTTGGTATTGTATACAGGGGATAAAGATTTACAGACACTGGGGAGTTGGGGGCGAGTGGTGGAGGGGTTAATTGGGAGAAAAAGGAGACATATAATACTTTAAACAATAAAAAAATGCGTATAGTTAATTTTATGCCTGCATGTTTTTAACCCATCCATAGTAATTATACTACCGTGTTTCCCCCAAAATAAGACATCCTCCGAAAATAAGACCTAGCGCATGGGAAGATAAGACATCCACTGAAAATAAGACCTAGCACAACTTTGGGAGAAAAAATTAATATAAGACACTGTCTTATTTTCGGGAAAACAGGGTATCTCTTTGTGTGTTTTTTTTTTTTTTATTTCTTGAGGGAAATGGGTTTGGTTGGACCTGAATGTGTCATTATAAAATGTGCACGTGTAAATTGAACTTTTCTAAATCTAGGTCAATTGGGTAAGAAGTCTCTTCAGATAAAAGCAGGTTGACAATAATGTCCACAGGCCACTTCAGTGTTAAATGATATTTCTTCCTACATCCTGGGTCATCAAGCAGTGTAAATTTTATATCAATGTTAAGAAACAGAAATCACATCTTACCTAATAATAGAAAAACATGCAAATTGACCGTACCTTCGTTACACCACCAGCCAATTAGGAGTGGTATGCAAATTAACCCAACAACGATGGTGGTTAATTTGCATACAGAGGCACCAAATGACAGGGTTGGGACACTTGGGTAGTTGCTATGGTGACAACACAGGTGTTCTGCCCCACCCCCAGTCTCTCGGGACCTCTGGGTAACATGGGAAGGCAGGGCCAGAGCAGAAAGAGGCAGCTCCAGGGCCTGAGCAGAAAGGGACTGGGCCAGAGTGGAAAGGCAGTACTGGCAGCCAGGGGAAGGAAAGCCCATTCTAGTACAAATCTTTGTGCATCGGGATTCTAGTTCACAATATTAGCAAAGCTTTATAGCGCATGGTTTTACACTTTAATACGCTGTGTCCCATGTTAGTGTTTTAAATAGTATAATTTCTTTTTCATGTAGTTTTAAGTTTATCTTTTATTGTCTTCTCACTCAATCTGGAATAGCTATCTACAGTGCTAGGAGAAATTCCTAAAAAAAATAAAAATCATAAAGTCAAATGATATTTTTAGAAAACTGTAAAAGATTTCAGATCCTCCAGCCAAAATGTCATCTCGTGTTCTTTCCAGACTCCATCTGTGTACCAGGCTTTGATCCAGGCCTCAACTTGATGACTGGGATCACCCCCATCAACCCAATGATCCCAGGCCTGGGGCTGGTACCACCCCCGCCACCAACAGAAGTGACTGTCATCAAAGAAATAATCCACTGCAAGAGTTGCACTCTTTTCCCTCAAAATCCAAGTAAGTGATGGCTGTGAGGAATGTTTGCTTATCAATTTAAATTACTTTCTTTTGTTTTTATCAGGGCATTACATTCATTTTTAGATGTGATTCAGGATTCTTCCACATAGATACTTGTTAGGTCTCCGAAGGAGGAATGCACAAAGCCAGAGTGGTGAGGGATAATGAATTTATTCAATCATCCGCACACATCAGGTGGCTGAGCCTGGATGGCTCCAGCACCCAGTGAGGGCAGTCAGTGGCTTTTAAAAGACTTCTGGTGGTTTTTTTTTCTGGGGGGAGACCTCTGTATGCATACCTGGATGGGAGAGAATGGAATGTGGTCACCACAAGTGAAAAGTGGTCTTCAGCAAAGGGAATGTCCACAGTGAAATGTCCTGAAAAGCCAGTTCCTGGGCGAGGTGTATCAATTCAATTGCTTTATCAAACCTAACAATACCAGAGTGGGGGTCCATTTCTCAGAAGTTTTTTGTCTCTAGATTAGAATGCACCTGGGAGGATTTGTCCATATGTCTGTCCATGAGCTGACTCAATACCATAAAGGCAGTATCTGTGATTTGGAACTATATATTCAGCATTAAGAATCTTTTTGCATGCAATGAGGTCTGACTTTTGCTGCAGAACATAGTGTGAAATATGTGAGCACTTCAATCCATCTTCACAGTTTTGGGAGAAACTGAAATGTTTTTTGCTAGATGGAAAGCTGAATTAATTTGGCAATTTTTTTTTGGGGGGGGGGAAACTGCATCTCAGACTTCCTGGGCCAAATTGTATTTGCTTGGAGGAAACATACATTTGATGGAATAAGTGGGTCAGAATTTTTTTTTTTTAATTTAGCCTCAGATACTAAGTTTATGGGCTTAAATAGCTAGGATTTTTTTTTATTCATATTAATCAGTGTTGCCTTTTTTAAGTGGACTTTTCAGGAGATTGCTTTAGTAATCTACATATAAACTAGGTAAAATGTTGTGACAGTGTACGTTTTATCTTTTTATACAGCCTTCCCCAAATTTAATAGTTTGCTCATTTCAATGTGAATAATACAAAAAAAAAAAAAAAAGTTTTTTTCAGGCCCAGGGTTTCCCAGCCAAGTGAGTACCGCGCAAGCTTTCAGGTTAGGCTTTCTTCGTTCTGCCTTGCTGCTTCCTTATCCCGCAACAAGACAAAGCAGATAACGAACCGAGGCTTTTCATCATGTTGTCATTTCATCATGCTTTGTACCTTGCAAAGGATTTCTCCTCGTCTTCTGGGTTTCCGTATTATGAAGGAGAAATGAAATTATGCTAACATTTGCTTTATCTTTGTTCACGGACAAACCTAGCTACTCTGTGTAGAAATGAACAAAAGGAAAGTTGGGAAGAGGAGGGGAGGGGAACTGAAAAACAAGACAGCCCATGATCAATGTAAGTCCGTGTAGAAATTTATCATTATCCAGAAGTGGAGACAGTTACTCTGCAAGTTTTACTTTTGCCAGGTGAACCAGAAAAAGGAGCGCAAAGAAATCAAATTATCAAGCAAAACCCTCTGTTTCTTGTGCTTAATTATTAGATCTTCCACCTCCTTCCACAAGAGAACGGCCTCCTGGATGTAAGACTGTGTTTGTCGGAGGATTGCCAGAAAATGCCACTGAGGAAATTATTCAAGAAGTCTTTGAGCAGTGTGGTGAAATCACAGCGATTCGGAAAAGCAAGAAGAATTTCTGCCACATTCGCTTTGCTGAGGAATTCATGGTTGATAAAGCCATTTACCTTTCTGGTACTTTGCATTCCATAAGGGGTTTTCTAGGCATTTTCTTATGTTTTATGATGTTAACATAAGTTTATTCCCTCTAGCCTTAATGCACAATAAAAATCCTTACAGTTTGGGGCTCGAAAAGGAGGGAGTCTGCCTTTCCCCTGGGCTGCCAGAAGCTCCATGTTAAGTCTGTGAATGCACCTCGCTGCAGGAATGGTTTCCCACATCCAGTCTTTAGGAATTCCATCAAGCTTCTAATTAATGATCTCAAGTGCTTATTAGATGAAAAGCAATATTATGAATACTAAGGACCATTATGATCATTGGGTGTAATTCTGTGGGAGATTAAAGTACTCAGCATAATTTCCATTTTCTCAGAAATGATTCACTTTCCAGACACCAGGGGACTAGAGCAAGATCAGTTCTTTGCAGAAAGTAGTGTGTGGGAGCCAGGGGAAGACCCAGTATCATCGCCCAATTGCTTGTACACTTATCATGGTTAAGCCCACCTCAGGATCCCCTCTTCTTCAGTGCCAATTTACATGAGAGATTTTTACAGGTGCTTTAATTAGACCTAATACTGCCATTTGCTCCCTCTGTGGGTGTCAGAGCAAGTGTATGGAGTCTCTCTGCAAGGCCTTTGCCCAACCCAAGAATTTGGGGCTGGTATTGATATGTGGCTTTACAAGGATGTATTTTAGATTCAACTCATTGCAATTTCCTCACACTCTCAATCTGCCTATTTTAGCAAGTCACTCTGGACACCACTTCCCTTTTCCTGAGGCCAAGCCAATGGGGGAAAAAATAATAGGGAAAAAAAGAAAAAATAATAGGAAAAAAAATAAAGCACATCTGAACATTACTGCAAGGTTTACTTGATTTCTGCAATCAACCATGAAATACTCTTGCAAACCCCAGAAGCTTTGGGGTTAATCCAATAAGGCAGAAACTTTCCTGAGCAAGATATGATATGGAGAACTTTAAACCTCTTATTCCCATAAAACCTTACAAAGTGGAAAAAAAGTCTGACAGCTTTCCAAAATGGAGATGGAAGATGAAACATAGGATAAAAATATTTTACAGCACACAGACAGCTCTGTTTTACTTTTCACGTGTTCTTGAGCTGCAGCCTCAGAGCAATCCGTTAGACAACTGGGGACTTGGTTGAGTGCCTGGCACTGGGCTTCACATGCCTTGGGCAAGATACTCCTTTCCCTCATCTGCAAAATTGAGATAGTGACAATGTTACCTCATAGGATTGTTATGGGGAATAAATCAAGATAATGGATTTTAAGTGCTTTAGCAAGGCATCTGCAACATCGGAACCATTCAGTATGTAAATGATGATTTTAACATAAATATTCTGATGATGATAAAGAAGAACTGCTTTGTTTCTAATCACAACACCAACAATAAAACTATGACTTTATCCCAACTGATTAAGTGAGAGGGTTAGAGTTAGATGAAAAGTGCTCTAACACCAGCAGAGCACATGTTTGGACCCAAAGGAAACCCCATAAGACATTGCCAAAGATGAGCACGCCCAAGGAAGGTGGTGAAGGTACTTCTTTATTTATGCCTTGATGTAGCCTTGGACCCCGGTCCTGCTTCTCAGCAAGGCCCTGCCTTGCTCCTTGGTCTGCCCTTTTGAGATAGGAGGACCCCCCAGCAAAGGCCTTCCCTCCAGCCCCCTGCCTGGGTGGCATCTCCCAGCTATGTCTCGGCTGCCCTGTGGAGGCTGCAGCATCAGTCCCAGGAAGATCTGAAAGGCTGATTAATTGAGGAACCAGAAGGAGGGAGGGCTGCTCCTCCTGCGTGTGAGCTTCTGCAAGCCTGAGCCCAGATGGAAGGCTTGTCTAATTTTAGGACCGGGTTCACATCTGAAGGCCACGCTAATTTTAGAGACAGCCTCATCAGATCTCTTTTAAGGCCTTAATGATGATGTTTTGGTGAAAGAGAGGGTGCTTTTTGGAACCAGAAATGTCTGAAAAGCAATGCTCTGGACATGAGCAAGGGAAAGTTGCTTAGCCAGTTGGGACACTAGCCAGTCTCAAGCTGCCCTGCCTGCTCAGATATATATCATGGTGGCCTGCAAAAAAAAAAAAAAAAAAAAAAAAAAAAAAAAAAAAATATATATATATATATATATATATATATATATATATATATATATATATTTGTAAAATCTCCATGACCCACAACCAAGATAACTCTGCTTTAGAATTAATTCTACTCATCTGTGATCATATGTTTGCATTTTTTGATAGGTATTGTTATGACTTTCCATTTTAAGATCACACAGTTGAAACTGAGGCACAAGAAGGTCATAATAGAATCAGATGTAAGATCTGTTTCATATTTGTAACTTTTCAAATGTGTGAAGGGCCCTACTGGGGAGCAGTCAGCCCTTTTTAGGGATTTTTAGCTGAGTTTCAACCCAAAATGCGACGATAATCCATTGAAATCTGCCATAAGATCTTGACTGTCAGCCCAGTGTGGCCTAGCTTTTCACAGTTGTGTCTTATTTGCAAAGCCCGGCACAGCAAAAGTGCTTCTTTTGTTCTCTGCTCTGGCAGGCCCTGACAGCCCTGATCCTGCTGGGACCTGAATTGATGTTTTTTTAATTCTGAGTACCCCAAACTGAAGAGCAACCTCAAAGCCAAGTCTTCTCCAATTGAAGTTTGGCTGGCTGTCTGGTTCCAGTTCTGTTTCTGTTGATTTCTCAGATCAAGTATCTGCTCACAGTCTTTGTAAGTTGGGCAGCTCACAGTAAATCCCCCAAAGATTTGCAGGCCCGTTATTTGGCCTAGCTCTGGGCCCTCCTGTTGGCTCCGGTGGCCTTCAAAGATTGTGCAGGCAATCCGTGCGGTGCCGCATGCCAGATGAGCTGCTGCAAGGCTGTTAGGAAGACAGCGGCAAGCCCCTTGATTGAAGGTAAAATATTCTCCTGTGTGCCCCAGAGGATAAGTGGAAATAAAAGAGCATTGCAAAATTGCCTTGGTAATTGTGGCTTTTGCAGCCGCCGAGAGAGAACTGAGCAGCAACATTTTCAAGGAGAATAAAGTGATAGCCTGTGAGTGAGGTGTTGTAGAATTTACTTTGTAGATCTCTTTAAATATCATAGTCACTCTTTATTTACTCCTACTCGATCTCTTTCTAAAAAGAACTTAAGAGAGTTTATGCAATAGAGTTACAGTAAGTTAAAATATAAAACCAGGGCCATAGGAAAGGTAGGAGGGAGGAAAGAAAGCTATGTGTCAAATTTGTTTCTGAGCTTCCTGGAAGCCAGAGGGAAGAAGGAATGAGTTGACCCAGGTTCTTGAGATCACCCTCTCGGTAACATCGGCTTGCAAGTGAGTAGGGGACCCTCAAAGACACCCTGCAGCAGTGAGCTTATCCCCTCATCTCTAAGGAGCTTGACTTGGCAGTGCTTCCGGGTCACAGGGGAGGAGGAGAGCTGCCTCCCACTGCCAGTGGGAAGGGTGTCCTCTGTGAGGACAAGGAAAAAGCAGCACTCAGTGCACCTTGCCCAAGGGCCTGGACCAAACTCTGGTGCTGTGACCACTGCTATGTGACCAGACTTTCCATTGGTTTCAGGCTACCGGATGCGATTAGGGTCCAGCACGGACAAGAAGGATTCTGGCCGCCTCCACGTGGACTTCGCCCAGGCCAGGGACGACTTCTACGAGTGGGAATGCAAGCAGAGGATGCGCGCCCGCGAGGAGCGGCACCGGCGCAAGCTGGAGGAGGACCGGCTGCGGCCGCCCTCCCCGCCGGCCATCATGCACTACTCTGAGCACGAGGCTGCTCTGCTGGCCGAGAAGCTGAAAGGTAGGAAGCCATTGCCCGGTGAAAGAGAAAGGCTGTGGCCCCTCAACGCCAAAGCCCTGTGTGTTTTTCTGTTCCTTCAAGAGCTGATTCTCTATGAAAGTGGGGGAAGGAGGAGGTGTAGTGGCAGTCACCGGGAAGAAGGACTCTGCTGAGTTGAGCTTGGTCCTGCTATTGGGACAGAGCCCTGCCCTTTTCCAGCGCTGTCATCACTGTGGGCTGGGAATGTGTGTGCACTGCCGCACGACATGGAAAGAGGGCAGAAGAGCCATGAGCGCTGGCCCCGAGGCAGGCTGCCCCTTGGCAGGCGGGCCTGGTGCTCCTCCTGCTCTGCAGAGTTCCCATCCACTCCAGACTCCTCGCAAGGCCTTCCTTAACCACATCTCCCTGTGCTGGGCAAAGAGACATGTAGACTAGGGTTCCTGGCTTCAGAGATGGACTTGAAGAGGCACTCCTAACACCTACCAGATAATCAGGACCAGACGTGTGCATATTTCATCTCTTCAGATGCTTCCTGTGTTCCTCCCTTTCTGTGTTTGATGCTATGAGAGATAAACACGTGGAGGCTGCCCTAGTGAACTACCAATGAGTGGGGAGGGGCCAGGCCTGGAAATTAGGATTGGGTGTGCGTGTGAATTTTTTGCCTTTACTAATCTAAGTTGTGTTATTGTACTTGAGCAACATCTGAGTGTTAACAGTCTGTCCTCAGGTTGTTGGGCGTGTCAGGTTTTAATGAGAGCTACACAGGTCACAGCCTCAGGCCACACAGAGGTGCTTACAAGTAAACGATTGTAATACAAAGTCAGTAACGTGATTGTTCAAGGTATGAGCAACGTGCTTTGCGAGCTGAGGAATGAGTGCAAATTGTTGATGAAGGTGTCACGGAAGTCTTCAAAGAGGAGGCCGGATTTGAACTTTGCAGGATACACAAGATTTTTTTTCCCCCTTGCAAAAAGAATGGGCACAAGCACATTATTAGTCAGAGGCTGGAGCCCTGAGAATAAAGATAGAAGGAAGCAGAGAGAATTTGAGACCCAAGGAGAAAGGCATGTGGCCCGCTCTGGCAGACGCGAGGCCTGCATGAAAGCCATAGAGGCCCGTGAAGCTGGAAAAGCAGCCGGGCCGTACAGGGCAGCTTGAGGGCTGCTGCTGCGTTTGGGGTTTATTCCATCCGCAGTGGGAAAGCCACTGGAGCTTTCTTATGAGGGGAGAGATGCAATTGGTTCTTAGAGTAGCTGAGAGCATAGCCAGTGTCTTAAATGTCAATGTGTAAAGTGTATTGGATGTTTTCATTAAAGGAAGTGTACTAACAACTGCTCAAATCCTATTTTAGAAAGATAGTCAAAATAGTTCTTCTATGCTTGAAAAAAAATAATTTTTAAACAAAAAAGAAACTTCTGCTTCCAGCTCTCATCCCCTGTTCTGGGCTTGGGAGCCCTAGTAATCTGTAGCTGCACTGAAATGCCCCATGGTGATGGAGAGGCCATGGCAGTCCCTCTAATAAAAAGCCTATAAAATGTAAATACATCTTCTCACTTTTCCATTCAGACTCCAGGCCATATTAAGTGGCCAGAAAGAGAAAGAGCAACATCCTCAACCAGGAATGTTGAGTTGGGAACAAATACATGTTTCTTTCAGATTCAGTGCATTCTGTATTTATCTGCTTCTGCCATGTCCACTCCCAGGAGTGACAAAACTATCACCTTGATTCTGTGACCTCATGAAGGAATTTCAGGAAGTTTGGCATCTACATTATGTTATTTTTAAGGAGCCAACACAGAGTATCTATGCATACCCAGAGGAAACCTGCATTGCCCTTCCTGATAGGATAGCAGATTGGGATGTTAGTTTGGTAAAGTAATTGGCAAGCCTTGCTATATTAAAAAAAAAAGGCATATATATATATATATATATATATATATATATATATATACACACACACACACATATATATACATACACATATATAGATAGATAGATATTCCATCTAATAAAAGAATAATATGCAAATTGACCATACATCTGCTAGACTCACAAGCCACGCCCACCAGCCAATCAGGGGCAAGTATGCAAATTAAACCAACCAAGATGACTGCAGCCACAGAGCAAGCAGGTAGCTTAGTTTTCCTCATCAATGGAGGAAGCCAAGCTTCCTGCAGACCCTGGCCAGCCCTGAACTCCACTCAAGACTATATGTTTCAATTATAGAAGATAAATAAATCCCAATAAAAATGGTAGCAGCCATAGACCTAGAGAGACAGGAGGCTTGGGTTGCCCCAGCAATGGAGGAAGCCTAGCTTTCTGCCCACCCTGGACTGCCCTGGCTTTCGCTCAAGGCTACAAAGTTTCAATTATAGAAGATAAATAAATCCCAGATACCAGGGCCCCCACTTGGGTCACCAGGGGGACGTGGCCAGCCCACAAACCACCACAGGCCCCTTACCCAGGCCACCCCATGCCCCAAGGGAACCTCTACCCTGATCCGAGACACCCTTCAGGGCAAACCAGCTGGCCCCCACCCATGCACCAGGCCTCTATCCTATCTAATAAAAGAGTAGTATGAAAATTAACCATCACTCCAACACACAAAATGGCTGTCTCATGTGGACACAAGGTAGCTGCCACAAGATGACCAGCAGGGGAGGGCAGTTGGGAGGGACCAGGTCTGTAAGGAAGGGCAGTTGGAGGTGATCAAGCCTGCAGGAAAGGGCATTTGGGGGTGACCTGACCTACAGGGGAGAGTAGTTAGGGGCAAACAGGCTGGCCGGGGAGCAGTTAGGCATCAATCAGGCTGGCATGGGAGTGGTTAGGGGGTGATTGGGCTGGCAGGCAGAAGCGGTTAGGGGCAAGCCAGCAGTCCTGGATTGTGAAAGGGATGTCCGACTTCCCATTTAGGCCCAATCCTACTGGAAGGGGTCTCAGGTTGGAGAGTGTGAAGGCTGGGCTGAGGGACACCCTCTCACCCCATGCACAAATTTTGTGCACCGGCCCTTTAGAATATATATATGAGTACAATTTGCAGAATTTAGAAGCTGCACCTTTAAAATGTACCGTGTGGTCCCTTGAGAGAGAACAGATTGGAAATTTTAATAGATGGCAGTTACAGTAGAATAAACTAGCTGGGGATACATCTTAGGCAACAGTCAGGTAATATCAAGCTTGATGATTTCAACCCAAGCACAGAGTTTGGAATATAAACAGCATTTAATTGCTTAGGAAATTGGCTGCCTCAGAGATGAAATCCACTCATGCTCCTTATAATGCTGCAAATCCAGACAGGAGGAGCCAAGGAAACTGTTTCCTTGAAGATGATTTCATTGATATGGGGATATAAAATCAGTCAAGTCCAAGGTAAAGAAGTCTAGGTCAGAAAGAAGTGGAAAAGCAATCTGAAAACACCTACTTGGATTTTTTTTTTTCTAGAGAAAAGTTACTATCTTGTGTTTAGTACAAACATGTTTTTCTCCGTTTTTACATCGTACTTGCTTATTCTTACAGTTTTCTTTTTGAAAATCGGTTTAATCCAACAAAATCTGTATAGGCCAAGTCTTCATTACAACCAACAATGCATTTTATATCCAGCTCAGTGCTAAAACTGTGCATGTAATATATGCTCAGTCAACTATTCACTTTCTTTGTTTCTTAGCTATTTGGATCTATAAGCATGTTGCCTTTCTGGCCAACAGTGCTACCAGGCATGACCCACGGCCAAAAGTCAGGGAAGTGATGTGCACTCGGCCATTATTCCAATCACTCCACAAGTATCTGTCCAGCTCTTTACCATATGCCTGGCTCTGTGCTGAGCATGTGGGAAAAGAAAACAGGATATGAGCCTCTACCTTACTTAGATGGAGTTTTTTGAGTGATAGAGGCAATTTACAAAGCACTCTGTACTTCCACTATTGCAGTGGCAAGTGCAGGATGCTCTCCCAGTGAGACAGGCACCCCACCTGGCCACTGCAGGGTGAGGCAGGGGAATCTTCTGGGAAGAGTAAACCTGCACTCAGTGGCCACAGGGCCTTCTGAAGTCAGAAGAAACAATGAGGTGTAACTGTGTAGCAACCTAAGGCATGGAGCTCCAGTGTCTGTTAGGCTGGTACAAATTCTAAGAAAGAAAATTAGCAGGCGTCCTGCTGATTAAGTAGACATTGTTCTGAGACAATTCAATTTAATGAAGACTGACTGGGAAGTGCTTACAGACCAAAGTTTATAGCAGGGCTTCGAGAAAGTGAGAAGGAGCTCAATAACACCATAATTACACTTTATTGGAAACAGTAGCACCAGGCAGACAAGATAATGAATTTCACTGTCTAACACAGACCATCCACCCCTGGAGGAACCTTGTGTTTAGACTGTGGAAGGAAGACATTGATCAAACAGTGAGGAGAGATTATATCCTAATTCACTGAGGATTTCTCCTAGCAAGAGCATTTAAAATATTTTGTGTATTTTCCATAGTTAGGAAAGCTTCACATAATCTTTATGTGATGAAATGGAGAGGTTTTTTGTTGTTGTTGTTTTTTTTTTCCCCCTGTGCATCAGGTGAAGTTTTGACAAAGCTTGGCAAACAGTGCCCTTGGGATTGCCCAATGTGTTGTGAGAAATTTGTCAATACCCAAATTTCCAGGGGGCTGGACTCTGGATTGCATACAGAGTGGTCCAGTGTCTGACTGCCAGGGGGAGAAAGGGTGGACGTGGTGCCAGCATTGTGCTGACATGGCTGCCACTATTTATGATTCTAAGAATGTAAAAATCAATAATACTATTAGCCAAGTGGAAGTTCCATTAGCTAAAAGCCAGACTTCCTTCTGAGGACACAGGAGCCTGTTTGCAAATCACTTCAATCATTACTCACCTTCATAAAAGGAATATATGCTATTTCATTTAGAAACATTTTTCATGACTCCAAATCAGGAATAATCAGTGTATTTTCACACTGCGCCCCCCCCCCCTTAGTTTTCACATTTTTACAGGTACTAATTAATTAGGGCGTGTGTGTGTGT